TTTTTTGTTTTAATTCCTTATAATTCGAGACAGTAAGTTTTATATTTTGTCACGCGAGTTTGCTAAGAATCGAAACTGCTGAAAGCGCAAATTCTTCCTTCCTCGCAACAGAGTATACGTGTATTTCCAGCCACCTAACCCAAACACTTGCAAACGACGCGAGCGACATTACCCGAAATCTCCACTTACGTCACGCATCGGGCGCCAAATACGATAGATCCATCGGCATTCTACGGCATTGTTCATCGGGCAAACACTATGGAGACACGATAAATCCGTTCAAAAGGGAACAACGGGGCGAGTGTGTTGGCGCGGTTATCGAAGCGTCAGAACACCTTGGTACATAAAGGGGCATTAAACATGCGGCGATCGGTCGGTGCATAGAGAACGACCGACAGAGAGAAACAGCGAGCGAGCGAGCGAGCGAGCGTGAAAGAGAGAGAGATAGGGAGAAAGGGGCCGAGCAATCGCGATTCAGCGGCGCAAACGTCGAGCGATCTAGGTCGATACGTTTCGAAGGTAATGATTAATACGATCCTTGTAATCGAGAGGGCGGCGAGCGACGCGCACGGACGGTCAGAGGGCCATCGGCGGCCTCCGCGAATCCATCCACCATTCGATTCAGGAAGGGAGAGAGATCCGCCGGGGACGAGGAACGAGAGGCCGAATCGAGGGTAGGGTGGTAATATAGGACGTGTGTAACCAGGAGAGGGTTGCGACGGATCATGATGCTGCGTTGGAGGACGCAGGTACATACATACATATCGTATTCGACGGGATTACGCAACGCGGTGCTCTCTGATTGGCTCTAATGGGCAACGCTGCAAATGGCTCGACATCGTTATGGTTTGCTGAAACGAGTCCATTGTTGTTTCGGGATACAATGCGCCGGCTACATTACTCGGTAATTAACGCGAACGCTGCCAGGGAAAAAGCGTTCGCGCGGATCCCATTCCGAGCAAGGTGGACAGATACTTTGCTTTTCACCGGCGCAAGAACTCCGCGCGAAGGCCCGGCTTCTCGCAGGAAGTCGTTAGTCGATTTCTTCTTTAGCCGATGTTACACTTTGACCGAGTTCCCTTGCTTATTTCTTCGCTTCTTTTCTTTTATTTTCTTTTTTTTTTTTTTTGTTGCTGGTAGCCTTCTTTTTCCCGGCTGGAGTCGTGAATTCGTTCGCCTTTCACTCGCGCGCGCGTTTGGAGGAACGTTGCAAAAAATTGTTTGAGAAACGTAGCGACAGTATTTTTATACATTTAATAAATATATTTTTTCAATTATATATTCGACTTTATATTAACACGTTAAGTGCCGTGCGTACATTGTTTGTTTCAAAACGTTGGATCACAGTTACGATTACATCCGATTGCATCCCAAAGTCTGAAAATTTTGTAAAAATACAACGCTGCTGGGAAGAAACGTTAGTAGAAATTAAGTTAAGAAACTGTTTTAATGAAACCCATTAATATTATTATTGCATTATTATACTAGTATTTTATATAATAAATTATTCTATTCTATTTTATAATCTTAAAGTGTTTCAATATTTAATACACGTGCACTAAATTTACTTTGTGACCGACACGGCACTTCACGTGTCAAAAGCAAAATTGATACAGTGGCTACGAAAAATATTTGCACGCAGTTGCATTCAATAATAATTATATTAATAATTTGTAATAATTATTATGTACTCTATTATATTAATTCATTACATTAAATTATATGTATTAATAATTCAATACAGTGTACTACATTATAACAATTTATTATTTTATATGTATTGATAATTTAATACAATAACACAATATTATAGGAACAATTTATATATTACTTACTTAACTGGCAGCAAGTACGTACATTCGCAGATATCATTCAGCAGTGGACTACGTAGTACATTTCTAATATTATAACTTTATTTTCTATATTTAATATAAAATTATTTTTCAATAAAATATCATTATATATAATTATTTTAATGTATATATATTTAATAATAATTTTTATATTATATTAATTTAAATTTAAATAGCTTATAATAATAGAGCATAATATTGAAAATATTAATGAAATTAAAAATTTTTAAATAAAATAAAATATTATATAAATATGAAGTAAAATTACATTTAATTACTTCAGTAGTTTTAATTTCGCGTCATTTTCAAAAGATCACGGTAAATCTTTTAACAGTAGACGAATGAAATTGTTATTCAACCTTGGAATAAACGAAAAATAGATGTGCCCAGGAAAGAAGTACATCTGTCTCTGGACAAATTAATCGTGCGATGCGTGTACGCGTTCGGAGACTCGATACATATACGAGTTCGCGGCAGGGTACCGCAAGTCATGAATAATCTAGCAACGATCCTGATTTGCAATGCAATATAAAATAGATTTCATGGACAGCGGCTGTAAACGCGCGCGCGAGCTCACCCTCGCGCGTTCACCAAACGCCGTGCGACTCGATTTGATTAAATAAAGAGAGCACGGTACTGTTCAATGATCCTGGTTAGTTATTGAATGAGTTACCAACCGTAATTCGACTCGGTAATGTCAAACTCTTCTTTTTTTTTTTCGAAATAGAGCAATTGTAACGATTATTATACTGCTAGAAACAATTAAGGAATCATTGCAAAGCAGTGCTACGCGGGCTTGATAGATTGACTAAATCGTTCTGTGATGTATAAACATTGCAGTACAATACATACATTTAATTTTGTGTGAATTCGTGTTTATTAAAATTACGGCAATTTCAGTAAAAATCGTCATTAAAGAAAGAAAGAAAACATAATGCACGTTTAATACAGACTCACCTATGGCCATTTCGCGAGGCGAGATGCAGCGGGGTGTGAGGAAAAATCACCGACGAGGAAGAATTCCGAAGGGGCACGATCAGCTCTGGATACGTGCTAACGAGCAACTGCACGGTTTCCAATCTATAAAAGATAATTAATTTTACAGAAGAGGCACAAAGCCAATTAGCACCGTCATCGATTATTCGGCCGGGACGGTCGATTATTACGCGAGCAGTTTCATCGGTTCTGAAAACCGGCAGCCGAAAATTACTCGGATTCGAAGCAAACTACCATTTTAATAAGCGCCAAATTATGGATTTTTCGTGTAGACGAACACAGAGAGAGAGAGAAAGAGAGAGAGAGAGAGAGAAAATAAAACAACAAGCAAAAATAAAGTAAGAGGAAGGAAAGAGAGTGGGAGAAAGAAGGGAAGAAAAAATCGTACGTGCAATTTACCTGCCATATTGCGCGGCGAGATCCAGCGCGGATTCTCCCCGGCTGTTGCGGATGCTGGGGTCGCATCCGTATTGCAACAGCTGTGCCACCACTTCCGTGTGCCCATACTGCGCCGCGCAGTGCAACGCTGTCTCGTTGTCCTTCGTCTGCGATCATACAAAGCCGAGTATTTCGCGTTAACGGATACAGTTTTGTTTCGATCGCTTTGTTTCGATTGCGCGGCATTTGAGAGAGAGAGAGAGAGAGAGAGAGAGAGAGAGAGAGAGAGAGAGAGAGCTTCGCGCGACCAGTCCAGGTTTACGCTTACGTGAAATTAGTCACGAAACGAAGAGAAGTCTATTTGCATCTCGGGACGAGCGATCAAATTTTCATTTGTCGAACGAAAACAAAGCCTGACAGAAAGAAATTAGATTGTCGACGTGATCGATACGGATCGACCACGACGATTCAGATGCAATTAATGTATGCTATTGGAAATTCATTATTTCGGAAAAGGGTACAAAGGGCTGACTGTTCGAGACTATTGCTACTGAAGGGACCGTACTATTCGAAACGAACGCGAGGATACACCGGTGAAATATGTATCGTAGTAATAAGATGTAAAAGAGAAGGTGTATTTTCTTTTTCCTTCAGAACGAAAGAAATGAATATATTTCTGGCAAAATTGGGAACTCACTTTCCCGCAGTTTCTCTCGCGCAACGGAAGAACTGACGGTGAATTTGCAGAATTTACGACGCGTGCAAATTGAAAGCCGCGAAGCGTGATTACACAAATAGCCAAAATGACAAATCAAAGTTACATTAACGCAACGCCATCTTACGCGGCAACGGTTCACGTATCGCGGTACACGTTCACAGAAAGGAAATCAATTTTCTGTTTATCAGATGTGAAATCGCGGGTTTGTCCGCGGAGGAATTCAGAGCGCCGCTGGAACGCGAGGAATCTGCGCGTTATTCGCCGAGCTCAACGAACGAAAATTATTTTCCGAGAGAAACTGTACGAATTCCGCGAGAGAGTGCTTCGGTAAAAAAGAAGGACGTCGAATTCCACGTCTCTCTCCGTGATCGACGTAAACGCGAGCCGATAAGCGACGTGAAACATCGTTATTATGTTAATGGCACAATTTATGTGTATGAAACAAAATGTCGCGACATTAAAAAAAAAAAAAAGAAAAAACAGAAAGAAAGAAAAATGAAAAGAAATGAAAGAAGAATAAATTTACTGACCGTGAGATTCACTTTAGGTACGGAGGGTCCTTGGGTAAGAATTAACCGCACGATTTCAGCGTCGCCCGCCCAAGCTGCCAAATGAAGCGGCGAAGAGCCTTTAGCGTCGACGACGTTAGTGGAAGCCTCATATTGGAGCAATAACTTTACCACCTCCCTGAGGATAAAAGCGTTCCCGCGAATTATCGTCAGAATGCACGTGACGTTTAATCGATTAATCATCGATTGGAAAATCAATGAGAAAACGTACGTATGTATATATGTATGTATGTATGTATGTATGTATGTACGTCAGATGAAAATACGCGTAGCAGAAGAGTATAATTCAATACAACGAAATTTCAACGTCGTCACTTTGCTTTTAACACTTTCACGCCGTGCATACGTCACTTTGTATAATAAATGGGTAAAAATATGTATTTGGAACAACCACTGTAATTTGTGTGATAATTAAAATAGATTCATGTAATTATTTTGCTGTTCAAATAGAAATTAATGCCAATTTTGATAAGAATATCCATTGTAAAAAAGAGTTAAGATTGTTACAGTGTTAAAATAAGGAAATTGTACGATTGTTTATAAAACTTCTGTAACGATAGTATCCAACGTCTAATAAATAATATTTCTTTCAGCTATCATCTCAAACATCTCGCCGGAAAAGTGTCAAAAGGAAATCGTATAAGAATTCACTTGATCTCGTGTCAAAGCGTGGAACTTCCACTTTGACAGTCGCGAGTTCGTTCTTTTCAAAAATGATTCTAGCGGACACCTCTTTCCTTCGGAAATTGTAAAAATTCAAACATTGGAAAATTTTTCTCACGGCTAGATGCACGTCGTTTCGAAGAATAAAGTCTCTCCTTTAAAAAATATGAAGATCAAAACTCAAGAAATCCATTTAATCCTTCAATAAAATGGTGAAACGGAGTCGTACGAGCAGAGTTTTTCGTACGAAAAAATTTTTTGTTGTCTCTGGAAACATTTGAATTTTTACAATTTTACTTTTCCATTCGTTACATAATGTAAAGTCATTTTTGGAAAAAAGAAACTCGAGACTTTCTATTGCGCTTCAAAGTGAGAACTGAATTGTTACATAATTTTGTTTACAAAATTATAACACATATCGACAATTGTTCAGTCATGTTTCCGCTGTATATCTATGCTATAACCATACGTATGTATGTATACGTGCATTATCGGATGGAATGTTCATGGAATTTGTTTAAACTGACTCGAAACATACTTGTGTCCGTTCAAAGCTGCGTGATGAAGGGCAGAATATCCGCTGGCATCTTGCACGTTAGCCCCCGGACCTCGCCGTAAGCTGTAAATAAATTAAATTATTAAGTTAATAAATATATAACAGTTAGACATAAACACAATCGAAACGGCATTGACAAGCGAAAAAAAAAATAGATAGTTGGATGATTTGGCACTATATCAGTCGCAGGAAGTCAAACGCGTGATTCATTCTTGAAAAGCACACTCAAGGTCTACGTCAGGAAATCTTTTATTCATATCAACAATAAAACTCTACGTTTCAACAATAAAAATAATATACCTCCGTTCACGTTTCAACAATAAAAAGAAAAAAAAATATATATATACACTTTATGCATGAAAATTTTCTTCCCAGGACTTCACACTCTAACTCTACCTCGCAAATCCTCTTACAGCGCGATATCTCGGTCGTCAATACCAAAGTCCTCGAACGAAAAGAACCCACCACCTAACCTCCAAGATCTATCAGACTCGGTGAGAACCAAACCTAACCGCCAAGAACATCCAACCCAGAAATTCCTCCGTGCCAAAGTCTGCACACCGAAGAGAACTTAACTTCTAACAATAGCGTATGAGTCTCACGAGAGACGTTATCTCGGTCTTGGTCTTGGTAATGTTGTACGTACACGTACGTCGCGTTACTCGGCGCGACTGTTGGTTGGCAAAGCAACCCCGCGATTGTCAGATCCGGGTTAACGATCATCGAGCAGCGGCAGTGGCCACCCATTTCCGCAATTAGGAATTCATGTTTACCGCCGGGTAACTAATACCCGGCGGCGATACGGGCTCGTAGGGGCAAAGAATCGCGCTCTCTGCGATTCACCGACGAATATCCGCCACATATCGCGGAGCCGGGGCGCAGACAGTTAGAGTTAGAGATTGCACACAATGGGCCTCGCGGACAGGAACGCAGGCTCGCTAATGAAGCTTCCTGCGTCCAACGCATGCTCTCATTACTGGCCTTTGTTGCGTTTCGCGGCGAGACAAACACAATGTAAACGCGCCTTTCGATCGTTCTCCTCTCGAACCCACGACACTTTCCCCGTTTTTCGCGATTCTTTGCGCAGCAAAGGATTGTCGGAAGACGTTACGTAGTCGAGCGATTCTTCGCTCGTTATGTTCTCTTCTTAAGTGGGTTTGATTAGCGCCGGCCGGAGCTTGGATCAGCTCAGCCACCCCCTCGAAGCGTCGAGTGGCGCACGGATCAAAGCCGGATCGAATTGGCCGGATTCGATGAACGAGAAGCACTGAGCCCGTGTGACGTGACGAGGCCAGCCGCAAAACGACGCTCGGCATAAGCAAGGGGAGAACCGCCACCCTGTCGTTTGATCTTTGACTCTTGTTCTTTTTTTTTCTTTCTTTCTTTTCTTTCGCGTCGTCAGCCCCGGAATTCGCCAAGTTGCCAACAGTGGTGCGAAGCAACTTGCAGCTTGCGGCTTGTTATACGCGTCGTTTTAATTACCAGCTTTCAATCTGCTGTCGCGTTGCATTTTCCACAGATTTGTAACTCTTTAGCGACTACTCGCTGTATTATTGCCAAAGAAATGTAAAAAAGATAAAATCGAATTGGTGGATTCAGCGGATTTTGAATTTCAATTTTTCTTTTTTTTTTTTTTTTCTTTTAAACTCATTGCCAACAAATCAGTCACAAGGCTCGTGCAAGACTCGTTAGTATGGNTTAACAGCGACTTTATGGTTCTAGATTAGTTTCATTAACATTGTATTCTACTCATCACGAAGGTAAAACTTTTCCAAGGAACCATAGGTCCCAATAGTTCTTTTGAAAAACGGCAAAAAAAGTTTCTCAATCTGCGTGTTAACAGCGACTTTATGGTTCTAGATTAGTTTCATTAACATTGTATTCTACTCATCACGAAGGTAAAACTTTTCCAAGGAATCATAGGTCTCAATAGTTCTTTTGAAAAATGACAAAAAAGTTTCTCAATCTGCGTGCTAACAGCGACTTTATGGTTCTAGAGTAATTTCATTAACATTTGATTTATCATAGTTGTAGCATCGGTGTGAATCTAAATAATCAATTGATAAAACCAACTGTTAACATTATTCGAAATATAAACGTTACGAAATATAGACATCCACATGTCCAGAACATAAAGTCGCTGTTAGAACGCAGTGTTAAATGATTAAGGAAACTTTGCTGTCAAAAGAACTATTAGGTTTCTAAGAAAAATTTTACTTTCGTGATGAGTAGAATACAATTCAAAAATTTTTTTGAAATTCAACGTCAAGATCAATTTTGCGACAGATTCTTTCATTTCCGCCAAATCGAAAATGTAGAATTCATCTACGACATCCACGAACCAACTTTTCTTTTCATTCTGTAATTTATCTTACAACTACTCGCCCCAAACATGTGCAAAGGTAAAACGTGTTAAAAGTCGAATCGGTGGATTCGCCGAATGCTAAAAAATACGCTCTGTTTGTAAGACTTCGAAAATCGGGGCATCGGCACAACAGAAAAACAACGTAAGGGAACGAGCGATATTTATCTTGCTTGATTAATACACATCATAACCGTGAGCCACTGGTATTTGCACAGTTCTCATGCAATTCCGATATGAAGATAAACTCGCAAAAATATGGATGTTTACCCTCGTCCTTCGAACTGTCGCACACGTGGCTCTTGTATCGATATTAGAGCTCGTCTCTATGTCTCTATCGTCGATATTAAATGACGGTTTGCCGCTCGAATAAAATGCTAGTGAAATTCATAGAGTTCGCTGAATTATCCGCTGACCTGTTCGATGCTCTGACGATAATCTCAAATTTTACCATATTATGATTATCCAGTCGCCGCTGAATAAAGTCTGACAACCCGGGTTGAATTTTCAAAAGAAACACCGACTGACAAAAGTATTGCAACGATGAACGACGAATAACGATCGGTTTCTTAGCGATCGACGTTCGCAGATATATCGAATATAGCGTTTGTTGGAAATCGTTCTTCGCAAATATTCGACAAACCCGACCTAGTGTTTGTCAAAGCGGCGGAACGTCAACAGCCGTGTTTACAGCACGGTAAAAATTGCACGAATAAATGCACGAAAATGTCCGACAGACGACGGTGACGATTTCACTCGTTGGGCAACGCGGACAGTAATATCCAGAAACATATTGAAATCTGTCTGCATACAGCGTGATTCACGTAACTTGTGCACCTGAAATATAACTTTTAAATTATGCGTAAATTTTTCCAATGAAAAATTGTTTAATATAAAAGTTGCATGGTCTCGAGAGAGGGCAAAATATGAGCGTATCAATTTTTTGTGTGTGTTGAGGGATATTTTTCTTTTTTTTTTTTCTTTTTTTTTGTTTTAATTGGACCATATATTTTTTTCAACGTAAGTACGGAAGAATATTAAATTCCAAGTAAAAAGGCCACATTTGTCTCAAACCTAATGGTTAAGGATTATTTTACGATAATTTCTCTCGAGGATGAAAACCGCATAGAGCATTTGCTTGCTACTGCTTGAACATATTAATGTTCCATTGATAATTAAATTATCGTAAAACATTTCCTTAATCATTAGATAAAAGACAAATGGGATTTATTTGTTTGGAATTTAATATTCTTCCAACTTACGATGAAAAATATATGGTCCAATCGAAGGAAAATAAAGATGATCTTGGAAATTTCGAAACCTACAAAAAAATTGAAAAGCCCTGAAAACTGAAAATTTTGCTTCCCTCGAAACCATGCAACTTTTGTATCGAACAATTTTTCACTAGACGCATAATTTGAAAATTATTTCAGGTGTGCAAGTTACGTGAATCACCCTGTAGAAGCGCTTGGAAAACGTGGAAATCAATTTTAATTTATTTTGAGGTATTGTAGATCGACGAAGGAAGAAGAACCAAGCGACGTGTTTACAGAGCAGTTAAAATTGAAATGATAAACGAATTTGTCGTGCGTTTCATTTCTTATCTTACATCTTATCTACGGTCTACGTTATCAAAACGCCGGACAATGTTGAACAACTCGCGCCGCAAGTTGGAATTTCGAAACATTGAGCTTCAGACAGGGTAATAGAAAGTACGCGTGATAAGACGAAAAAGATAAAGAATCACTATGGAGGAAAGAAAAAAAGGAACGATTTCGATAATATCACGGGATAATGTTTGAACCTCGTACAAAATCTTGGAAATACAACTTGTAATACATCTTGACACTAGATTAAAACATAAAATTTCCATTAGAGACATTAAAGTAAAAGAAATGGAATAATTTTATAATGAACAATGGAGTACACAAACTTTTATTTATACATTTTGCAGAGTATTATTTAAAAAAATACGCTGTCTTAGATCCATAAAGATTCTAATCAAAATCATTTCAACCATTTCGGTAAGTTCTAGTGTTAAAAAAAAAAAGAAAAAAAACTTTCAACGTTCAACGATCAACCAGCGACAACAGTTCGCGATTATTAACGATATTCAGTTTCTGCGCTGTTCAAGAGCCAACGTGAAACACAAAAGATCCAGCGATTATTGTCATCGTCTGCCACGCCTGGGAACAATTTCGTCCCGATAGCGTCCGCGACAAAGCTCGCCGGTCGCAGGGAAACTTCCAGTTGGATTTGCCTCGTTAACAGGAGTGGCGTTCTGAATCGACGCTCGCGTCGTCGAGGCTGGATCAAAGCATCGCATTCAGTTTACTCAAAACAATTACCGCGAGCCGAAGGCCTTTTCTCCGCGGAGTCGCGCGGCGTCAGATCAAAGACCGTTTCCTGGCCTCGTCCTCGTCCTCGTCCTCGTCGTAGTCGTAGTCGTCATTAAGCAACGAACGAGACGTCATTAAGCTTTCGGGACAGCGGCACTTTAAATCATCGGCACGCGACGCTTGCGTTCGTGTGGATCGTTCAAGGCATTCGCCACTCGACAACAACGCCGGGGCACAGCCAAACCACCACCGCCACTCTAACCAACCACTGCTCCAATCCATTGTAACTAAAGATCAAAAACGAGAGGAAACTGTCGATTTTACCGCAACGCAAACTCGCCACCCCCGAACCGTAGTGTACG